AGGTAATTAGCCCCTGTCCTGGCCAGACCCCTGCAAACCCACACTCTCCCAGACCCTGCACTTCCACCCCCAGCCTGCTCATGCACCCCACTTCCTGTCGAGATTGCCCACTCTCAGCCTGCTCCTCTGCCCTATGTCTCAACCAGACACTGAATCTCCACCACGCCAAGCCTGCTCATGCACTCTAATGTAACACACATACCTTATGTGGTTCACTGTCTCATGTAGTGGCACTTAGACTACTGACAGTGAGCGATAAGCGCTCTACAGCCTCAGTTGAGACTCAGCTGGCTTTATAGCTCTAGCTGAAGAGGATCACACTGAGGTCCCAAGTTCCAATCTGCCAGCAGGCAGTTACAAGTGGTAGCCCATCTTCTGTAGCTTTTTTCAACAGAACAGCTTAGGCTGTAGAGCTCACTTCTTCTTATCTGTTGCTGTTAGTGGTCTAAGTGCCACTATATGGGACAGTGGACTACACTAGGTGTGTGGGTTGTACTAACATCCTGCCAAATCCCATACCTGCACACCCCCACACCAGCCTGCTCCCCAGTAGCCACCTACAGCAACTGAACCTCTTATTTTTGACCACACCACAGAGCCTAGGGTACCACAAAATCTATTAGCAACCCTGGCCCCAGAAGAGTCAATCTGGACATTTGAGGAAGCACTTAGCCATGGGTGTGGAACCTCAGGCCCAGGGTCCGGATGCAGTCCAGCCCCCAAAGCTCAGGGCTCCCCACCCCAGCACTGGGGAGCCCATGCTGGCACTCTCTCCCCTGACACCCCACCTCATGGCTGGAGCATATAAAATATTCCCACACTGGGTGTGGGTGTGCCCGTCTCATCTCTGACTAGAAAATGCCAAGTTGATACATTCCATGGGTAAAGGAACGTATAGCCAAATCGGAATGTATAACCTATCGAAATTGCCAAACTTTTGTATATCATATGAGTGGAGTGCCAGTAGCACATTCCTACAAGGAGCAGTTCTGTACAAAGAACTGTATATAACTGCTCCCTGAAGGATTGTGCTACTTCTGGTAGCAATAGTTTACTGGAGCAGTTTGTTATGTTCGTACCAACCAGAAAATGCTACTGGTAGTACATTCCTACAAGGGAGTAGCTTTCTACTGGCAGTCAGGGCTTCAGCCCCATGTACTGGCATGCTGGCAGACCTCCCCACTTCTTTAAGGGGGAGGGTGACACACACTCCTTACCCACTCCATACACCCTACCTTTTGCTGTATATATACAGGCTACCAGTCTCCAACTACTGTACTTGGTTTCTATTTTTTTCTCTCTGCAGCCTGCCTGACTCAAAACGCCACACACTGGTCTGCCTGCGTTTACAGCCAGCCACAGACAGAAGACAGCTGCGGCTGCGCTGACCAGGGGATTCAAGGACCAGCAGGGGAGTGCAAATATGAGACAATTTTCCACCTTTTAAAAAAAGTCGGGATACTTGGAAAAGAGCTTAAATAAGAGACAGTCCCAGTAAAAATGGGACAGATGGTCACCCTATAAATTGATAGAGTGGATACATATTGCCTCCTGGCAGATGTGTTTTTCAACTAGATTTATGTGCATTTTGGAAGTATTTGCTGTCCTTGAATTTAAAGTCATGGACAAGCAGCTGTCAAAACCTTGACTTCTGTGCTTCAAATGTTAGTTAACCTTTAGAAAACATGGAAGGAAAAAAGATCTGTGCTTAGTGGCAAGGGAACCCCTCCAAGATAATGAGTGGGCCTGCCTTGTACCATGCTTAGCTAAGCAGAACACCATCTTTCACAGCATTAACTTTGGATTGTACCAGGTCTAAATAGGTGTGATTATGAAACTAGATATTTTTACATTTCCTTTCACTGCAGGCCACCATTTCCCCCCTCTAATTGTATCACCCTTCACCAAGGTGGCGTTGCTCAACCTTTTGACCGAGAGCAAGCAATTGCTGAGCCTGGAATGCTGGCCTACAATGTGCTTGGATGGCAGTGAAGCTAATTACCATGTAATGCAAACTGCATTAATGTACTAAATGTAACCTCTTCAGTATTACCATGTACATCCTATGTGGAACTGCCAACCAAGTCACATCAGCTCTGTGTGATAGTTTCCAGATATAAGCTTTGGAGTCCTGAGAATCCATATTTCCTATCATTTTATCTTGCTCAAGTTTTGACTATCAACCTGGCCACTGAGAACAGGGCTGGCTTCTCTGTGAATGCTGTTAGTGACATTCCCCAAACAAAACAAAAGCTCAAATATTTCACAGCAGGAAACAAAAGTTTACAATGTAGACTATGAAGCTGTTAATGTCGGGAAATGGCAAAAGTCACCCAACTGTGCTACCAAACTGAAAATGACCCAGCAAGAGGTGCAAGGAAAAATGTTTCAGCTTGAGAATGTGTCTCATTCAGAACTGATTTGCTTGGTGCAATAAGAGTGCAGGCTCTGTGGCCCTTATGCATCTTTGTTAAAAGGACATTTTGATATAGGAAGAAACCATTTACCTTTTCAATTGATTCAAAACTCCTTACTCCTAACCTTTCTTCTATCTTCCTTCCTACTAAGAAGATGTTCTGTCTCATCCATCTGCCCTGTCCTATTCAATCCTCCCTCGCAAGTGATTCTATTTTGCTTTCCATGCCCCACAGGCACAGCTGTCTCCATCTTTTCCTCCTCCCTGTTCTCCACTGGCAGGCACTTTCCCCTCTCCTCCCTAACATCCAGTCACAACTCACCAGAATTTATTTTATCTTCTATCCTCTTTGCTTTCCATCAATTCCAGCCAATGCCCAGATAACAATGATCTTTGGTCCTACAGAAGCTGTTCTATCTCTGTGACAGTGTTGGTTTTTTTGCCGGTGCTATTTCCACATCTGCATTTGTTCTGTATTCACCTCCAGCAACAGCTATTGTGCCCAGGTCAGGTTTCAGTGCAGGTGGGAGCAGGGCCGGCTTTAGGAAGTGCGGGGCCCAATTCGAACAGTTTTGGCAGGGTCCCCCCATCCCCACCCAGGATTTTTTGTTGAGCAAAAAAACAAAAAAAAAGCACAACAAACCAGAGCCACACACAAATATCACATCAGAAGTAGATCTGATCAAAATGTATACCAATATAGCTGAACATTTTCAAAAAAATGCCATCTTTTATGATGCAAAATTTTACACAAAATTAAATCAGCTGCCTTAAGTGTCGGTCAAATATTTTCAATTGCAAACTATCCAATCTTTTCAATAAAGTTTAAAGTTTGATTTTTAAAAAGTTACCAGAGAGTGTTGCAGTTTTCTGTTACATTGATTTACTTTTTAAATAGCAAAAATGGAGTCTTTGTTAAGAAAGTGTCAGTTCTGTGGTCAAATTCCAGTTCTTAGTGATGTCAGCACCACTGATTTCACTAGATAATATGGTACCTCACCACCATTGCTCCTTTGCACTGCCCTTCAACACATATTGCCTGCATGTTGAGTCCATGCATGTTGAGTGGACTTTTGTCGACAAAACTATACCGGCGTCTACACTACCGCTGAGTTCTGTCGACATAACGTCGACAGAACTCAGCAGTTTTGTCGACGCTGGTAAACCTCATTTTACGAGGCGTAACGCCTTCTGTCGACAGACGGTGTTCTTGCCTGTAGGGTTGCGTCTAGACTACAGGGTTCTGTCGACAGAAGGTGTTCTTGCCTGTAGGGTTGCGTCTAGACTACAGGGTTCTGTCGACAGAAGGTGTTCTTGCCTGTAGGGTTGCGTCTAGACTACAGGGTTCTGTCGACAGAAGGTGTTCTTGCCTGTAGGGTTGCGTCTAGACTACAGGGTTCTGTCGACAGAAGGTGTTCTTGCCTGTAGGGTTGCGTCTAGACTACAGGGTTCTGTCGACAAAGCAGCTTGCTTTGTCGACAGAACTCAACGTGTCTGGACGCTCTTTGTCGACAGAACTCAACGTGTCTGGACGCTCTTTGTCGACGGAAGTTTTGTCGACAGATCCTGTCGAGAAAACTTCTGTCGACAAAACGCCGTCGTCTAGACACACCCCATGGGGCCAAACGTTGGGAAAACCCCTCCTTCCGAGCAGCCCTTCTTCTTCCTAGACGGCGTCCCAAGGATGCCAAAAGGCAGGACCGTTTTCCAAACTGTTATTCGGAAAGGCAGAGACATTCCTTGGCAGCGCGTTCCCAGGATACTTCCAGGGTCCCGGGAAAGCGCTGCCGTGTGGGCAACGCCTGAGAAAGGGACCCGGGAGCTCTCCCCTTGGCGCCAGGGTTACCTTTCGCTGAGGAGAAGTTCCAGCCCCGCCGAGCGCGGGCTCCAGGGCAGCTCTGACCAGCGCGAGAGCGGGACTCGGCCCCGCCTCTGCGCCCGCCCGCAGCGCACGCCAGGGGGCGCTGGCACACGCTGACTGACAGCC